CAGCAGCAAAAATACGTATTGCTTGCAATTGGATGGAAAGAGAAGTTAGAAATAGCTAAAAATGTGATTAAGACCCTTGAAGAAATTCAGCGTCGTCAATAAATCATTGTTGCAGAACAGGCATGTTTTGATAATCTGATGTGCTCTTTCATTAATATAATGATTTTGAACCGTGTCCTTCTTAAAAGCGAGGTTTTCGCTATCAACGATGATTTTACTTCTAAAAAAAGTTGTCTTTTCTTACAACTGTTTTTCGGTGACACGTCTCCAGTAGTATTCTATCACACTAAGAGATAAGCTCAGTTTTTTAGGATATTCGCTAAAGAAAAAACATTTTTTTCCCTTGAAGAAAAGTTTTTCGAAATTTAGCTTTTTTCATAAAAAGGACAAGGGCGGATAAGGCCATTTTGCGGCCCCCTTCAGATTCGATCCATTTATATCTAGTTCTAATCATGAATGGTCCCTGATCGTATTTTACGAGTTTATTTTCCAAAAAGTCACTCTTGAGATTTTTGTACCTGGGGTACCCCCCAGGGTTCTCAAAGAAATTTTTTTTCTCAAAATTGATTCGAAAGTACATGCAACTATAGAACAGAGGGTGCTGATTCCAAATATAACAAAAAGAGTTCCTAGAACTCGTTTCCTTTAAAAATAACAAGGACCACATTATTGACCTCATAATTGCTTTTTGGCCCTCCTCAAGAAAAATGAAAGGTTAAGTGTTAACTGAAAAGATGTTATACTATCCAAAATTACGTGCTCTATTTGAATCTGAGTCATTTGAGCGGAAAAAAACAAAGATTAAAAAAATAAATGCCGATTCCAGGGCCCAAAGTGACCTTTTTTTAATGATTATATTAATATTCGTTGAAGTTCATTGGGAAGGGAGACTTGCCGCAGAGCCAAATTTTCCCTGTTAGGGTAACTTTTTAAGCTCTATCTAATGGTGGCATAAAAGAAATCAAAAAAGGTGTGCAACAGGATCAGAAATTCAAAATACTGCTAAAATTTCCAAAATTTCACTAGTTTTAGCAATAATCGTTATATTTATCGGTGAAGGGAGGCTTGCCGCAGAGCCAAATTTTCCCTGTTAGGGTAACTTTTTAAGCTCTATCTAATAGTGATATAAAAGAAATCAAAAAAGGTGTGCAACAGGGTCAGAAATTCAGATTTTGAGTACAATTTGTCTTTTTTTCACTAAATTTACTATGTGTAATCGTTGGTAATCAGGAAATCAATCTTACCGCAATATGAAATTCAGTCTATAAGGGTAGCTATATTCTCTCAATCTAATGATGATTTGAAAGAGATCGAAAAACGTGTGCAATATGATCAAAAGCAAAAGAAAGTACCTAATTTAATTGTATCTGTATGATGCATATAATAAAAGTTTTATGTTTAGAAGTATTTAGGAAAATATTTATCAGAATAGAATTTCATTCAATGAATCTTAACGATATTTATTTGTATAAAATAGATTTATCTATATAGGTGGTAACTTGTAGACTACGATTTCGTTTTTAATAATTAACTAGTGATAGAGTTGACGAAATGTAAATGAATTGTTGAGAGGAAAGAAAAAGAAAAATAGTTGTCTCTATCAAATTGTTTAAATAAATTATTTTTTTTTCTCGTCCGGCTGTATAAGAAAAAGAAGTTATCGTTAAGAGCTAACGGTTTATGATATTTTTGGTTAATCGTAATAAATTTTTGTCTGTTCGATTTTGTTCAAAGTTGAAATACTTAACTATTTAGTAAGTATTTTTAGTTTGTATTCTTGAAATTCAAATAAAATTTGTGTCTAGAATTTCTATTGTTATTTCCTAATTCTTGGTACAATGCCATATCATACACGTTGTGGCCTATGTGATGTAATGATCCGATCTAATCGTTGTTATTCATTATCCATATTAGAAAGTCTATTTCAAGAAATTGATGATTTGTACCAATTATTGCATTCACGGCATATTTCCAAGGATGTTATGATATGTGAAGCTTGCCGAAGAAAGCATGAAAGAAGAATATCGTCAAGCACTTCTATAGGAATGCCGGAAGTTTGCACAAACACTGAATCTATGAGTATTGACGACAATATCTTATTAGTTAACACAGCCACCGAAACCGATGATACATTGAAAACCGATGCCATTGCTCAATGTTCTCTAATCTCACTAGACACCATCTCAATACCTATTCGTATTAGCACATCATCACATAAATTTTGTGTTATTTGTCGATCTGATCTTGATGGAAAACATGCTACCGTTATTTCTGAATCTATTAGACTCACATTACTTGTTCAACATACAATTTATTTGAAACCCGGTGTGCGTTGTTGCAAGGATCATTTAAATGGTAATGGCTTAAAACCACAAGGTTTAAATATAATCAAAAAGAAATATCCTCCTATAACATCTATAATGATTAATGATCTTATGGATATAATCAATGAATTAATATTACAGGTAAAAAACTCAAAAAGTGATATTTTAATACAAAAAAAGGTATCTATCTCCTTTGATGATCCATTTCAATATTCTGATGATGATTATTTTACACTTATTGGAATCTATAAATCTGATTTTGATGCTTTATGTGAACAAGTTAAAATGCGAGATACTGATAACAGATCGGTTTCAATGGCAATTGGCTGTCTACTTACAAAACTTCGAATTGGATTGAGTAACGATGTTCTTTCGACACTTTTTTCATTTGATGACAAAAGGACTATTGGGCACATTGTTGAAAGTGCTCGTAAGGCACTTATCGAAAACTTTGTACCTTCATATTTAGGATTTCATCACATAAGTCGTGAAACAGTTATCAAATGTCATACAAGACCATTAGCTAAACAGCTTCTTACTGGTGGAAACGATGCTGCTATATTAGTTCTTGATTCAACATATCTTTATGTTCAGAAGTCCAGTAACAATTTATTACAACGAAAACTTTTTAGTCTTCATAAGAATCGACCATTAATTAAGCCTATGATGATAGTGGCAACAGATGGCTACATTATTTCAGCTATCGGCCCATATTATGCCGATTGGCGAAATAATGATGCCAACATTACTAATCACCTACTTCGTACTAACCAAGAAAATATCTTGAGTTGGCTAAAAGCAGGTGACACATTAGTAGTAGACAGAGGCTTCCGTGATGTTATAGATTA